TATATGCCTAGAAACACATATTGAAGCATATTTATTGAAATGATATTAGATATATTTGGGGAGAAGTACCTGTTTTTTGAAAAAACATATGTAAGAAGGTGCTACAACCATTGCATTTTTGCAAAATAAAAATCATAAAAAGATTTGAATATTGAAAAGCAAGATTAAACAACTATTGAAAGGCAACACTCTTATAATAATTTGTTATAACTGTAATGGAGTTCTGGTTTGCCACTGTAAGATAAGCACTGGACTGCTAATCACAGGGTTGGGTATTCAAAACTACCAGACACTCCTTAAAAACCCTATACAGGGTGGCTATGAGTCAGAACTGACTCTATGGAACCTAACAACAGCAACACAATATGAATTAATTAAAAATAAAATGTGAAAATATACACATTTGTAGAAATTATGTCTCCAAATAACTAAATTATACAAAAACAGTTGGCATGGAACTATACATCAGCACTGGACTTTGAACCACGAGGTCAACAGTACAAACCCACCAGCTGTTCCTTAGAAACCTTACACACGGTCATTAAGAGTTGGAACTGAGTTGATGGCACTTAACAATAGTAACAATTCATGATTTGGCACCAAACACTACTGTACATCTGCATGTCTCTGTAAACCTCTCCATTTTTTGTGAGGACTAAAAGAGCCCACCACAACTTATTTGCCTGTTCACATTACTGTGTTAGCTGTATGCTGAGCAAAATCATCTGAGAAACTGAATTATATGAAGAAGAACATGGCATCAGGATTGGAGGAAGACTCATCAACCTGCAATATGCAGATGATACAACCTTGTTTACTGAAAGCAAAAAGGACTAAAAATACTTACTGATAAAGATCAAAGACTACAGCCTTCAGTATGAGTTGCACCTCAATATAAAGAAAACAAAAATCCTTACCACTGGACCAATAAGTAACATCAGGATACATGGAAATCAAGTTTTCAAAGATTTCATTTTGCTAGGATCAACCATCAACATTCATGGAAGCAGCAGTCAAGAAGTCAAATGACATGTTGCATTATGCAAATCTGCTGCACAAAACCTCTGTGAAGTGCTTAAGAGCAAAGATGTCATTGTGAGGTCTAAGCTGCATATTGAAAATAGCCTCATATGTATGTGAAAGTTGAACAGTGAATAAGGTAGACAATAGAAGAATTTATGCATTTGAGTTATGGTGTAGGAAGAGTATGTTAAAAGTACCATGGACTGCCAAAATAACAAACCAATTGTGTTGGACGAAATACAGTCAGAATGCTCCTTAGAAGCTAGGAGGGCCAGACTACATCTCTCATAATTAGAACATATTATCAGGAGAGACCAGACCCTAGAGAAGACATCAGATTTGGTAAAGTAGAGGGTCAGTGAAAAACAGGATGACCTCCCCCCCCCAATGACATGGACTGGCACAATTGAAGCAGCAATGGTCTGAAGTGTAGCAAGGATTGTGAGATTGGCAGAGGACCAGACAGTGTTTTGTTCTATTGTTCATAAGGTCACTTTGAGTCTGTACAATCTCAAAGGCATCTAACAACAAAGGAGCCCTCCACAACTAATCTGCAAATTCATGTTAATGTGGTGGCTTGTGTGTTGCATGATGCTAAAAGCTACTATTCCACTGGTACTTTATATACAAGTAGCACCCAAAATGGTCAACAGATTTCAACAGAGCTTCCATTTTAAGACAGACTAGGAAGAAGAAGCAGATAACTTCTGAATGGTTAGCCACTGAAAAACATGGATACCATTGACATTGCCTTATATATTGTCAAATTATGAGCCTCTCCACTTGGAAGGCATTCAAAATAAGACTGGGAATGAGCTGCCATCTCAAAGTAGAATTGACTTTAATGACATGGGTGGAGCAAAGCTTTGGGGGCCATCATTTGATGATGGGGCACAACGCAAATTGAGAAGCAGCAGCTGCAAACATCAGTTAGTAATAGGACTATGGAATGTATTAAGTGTGAATGTAGGAAACTTAGAAGTTGTCAGAAACAAAATGGAAAACATAAAGATGGATATTCTAGGCATCCGTGAGCTGAAATGGAAAGGTACTGACCATTTTGAAGTGGACATTCATATGGTGTGACTCCAATTAAAAATAACCGATTCCTGTCCATTTCAGCTCACTAATGCCTAGGATATCAAAGTTTTGAATTGGACAATCATCTGATTTAACTCCGGTAGCTCAGTCATTATGAATCAGGCTGCTAACCTCAAGATCGGCAGTTCGAAACTACCAGATGTTCCACGGGAGAAAGATGAGGCGTTCTGCTCCCGTAAAGATTTACAGCCTCAGAAACCCTGTGTAGGGCTACTATGAGTCGGAACTGACTCCATGATACTTAACAACAACAACAACAACAACAACACTTGTCTATCAGTTTGCCATGATGCATTTGCTTGTATGTTGCTATGATGCTGGAAACTAAGTCAACAGTATTTGAAATATCAGCAGTCACCTTTGGTGGACAGGTTTCAGCAGAGATTCCAGACTAAACAGACTAGGAAAAAGTAGTGCCGGGCTACTTCTGAATGCTTAGCCATGGAAAACCTTATGAAGAGCAGAAGAACATGGTAAGATATAGTGTCCAGAAGATGAAAGCATTATGAATTAAGAGCAGAAGATTGTGATATACAGTAGCAGAAGATGAGCCTCTTAGGTTGGAAGGCATTTCAAATACAACTAGCAAAGAGTTGACCATAATGGAGCAGATAAATGGAGCAGATGGAATGGTTGGATTCATAATTGGCCGAGGAGGTGAACAGATCTCAAGTATACAACAGGAATCTGGATGCAAGCTACATATAGCTCCTGATAGTGGTGGCCTTCCAGAAAGATCTTGTATGTTAACTGGGACACCTGAATCTGTCCAATCAGCAAATGGTTACTGGACCATTGAGAAAGGATGACCAGCCCCTGGATTTCATCATGGTGATGGACCTGGGAATGCAGTTCAAGAGATCATGATTCCAGCTAGCAAGGCTGGATTAGTTAATGGGAAGGGAGGTGAAACTATTAAACTTCAGGAGCAGGCTGGAGTTAAAATGGTTATGATTCAAGAGGGACCTCAGAACATGGGTGCTGACTTCAATTATATTGAATGAGGGATTCCAAGCTGCATTGAAAGCATTGACAAAAAACAAGGCCCCTATAATTAGTGGAATACAAATAGAAAAATTTCAACGAACTGATGTAGTGCTGAAGACACTCACTGTTCTATGCCAAGACATTTGGAATACAGCTACCTGGCCAACCGATTGGAAGAGATCCATATCTGTGTCCATTCCAAAGAAAGGTAAGCAAACAGAATGTGGAAATCATCAAATGATATCATGCAAATAAATTTTTGCTGAACATAATTTGAAAATAATTTCAGTAGTACATCAACAGGGAGTAGCCAAAAATTCAGGTCAGATTCAGAAGAGAGCTTGGAGCTACAGTTATCATTGCTGACATCTGATGAATCTTGGCTGTAAGCAGAGAATGCCAGAAAGGTGTTTACTTGTGCTTGATTATGCAAATGAATTTTACTATTTGGATTATAGAAAATTATGGATAACATTGAGAAAAATGGGAATTCCATAACACTTGCTCATGCTCATAAGAAACCTGTACACATACTAGGAGGTATACTGAATGACTTACGTCAAGAAAGTTGTACATCCAGGTTGTATCCTTTCATTATACTTCAATTTGTATTGTTGCTAAGTGCTGTTAAGTTGGTTCCAACTCATAGCAACACTGTATAGGGTTTCCAAGGAGTTACTGGTGAGTTTGAACCACCGATTTTGTGGCTCAAACTGATACTTCAGTCCAGTGCTTAACCTACAGTGCCAGAAATAATCCAGGAAGCTGGAGTATGTGAAGAAGACCATGGACTCAAGATTTGTGGAAGACTTATTAACAACCTGCAATATACAGATGACCCAATCTTGCCTGCTGAAAGGAAAGAGGACATGAAACACTTACTAAAGAAGATCAAAGACTACAGCCTTCATAACTGGACAAATATGTAACATCATCAAAAAGGAGAAAAAAAATTGAAGTTGTCAAAGAATTCATTTTGCTTGGATCCATAATGAACACTCACGGAAGTAGCAGTTAGAAATCAAATGATGTATTCCATTAGGCAAATCTTGTGGTAAACACCTCTTAGAATATTTAAAGTATCATGTATTGCCAAAAGAACAAACAAATCTTTCTTGGAAGAAATACAGCCAGAATGCTCCTTAAGTGATGAATGAAAGACTCTGTCTCTTGTATTTTGGATATGCTGTCAAGAGGGACCAGTCCCTGGAGAAGTATACTATGCTTTGTAAAATTGAGGGATCAGCAAGAAAGGATATTACTCCCAAGAAGATGGATTGACACAGTGGCAACAACACTGAGCTCAAAACATGACATTGATTGTGAGGATGACTTGGAACTGGGCAGTGTTTCTTTCTATTGTGCATATTGATCCTAGGAGTCAGAACCTACAGGAAAGCACCTTAACAAAAAATAACAACAAAGGAGCCCGGGTATCACTTTATATCTTGCTTATCTAGCAATTTGGCAGTTCAAACTCATCAGCTGCTCTGGGAGATAAAGTTGAGGTTCTCTGCTCTCATAGATTTACAGTCTCAGAAACTCTATATTAGGGTCCCTATGAGTCAGAATCAACTCAATGGCAGTGTTTATTGTTACTTATTAATATTAATAAGCTGTACTGGAAATTTGTTTTCTTGGTCTGATACAATTACCTGAATCTTCCAATTAGATTACCATAAATGTTTAGCTTTTATTTCTTGTAGTCTTATGTTGGTAACTGTAACAATGTGAATTAGGCATACATGGAGGGTCCTTCAATAGATAACATATCAGAATCCTTCATTGCTTTCTATTCTGGGAATTTTAAAGATAATTGCATTATTCTCCAACTAGATAAATTAAATACAAACATGTGCACATGTGTATCTTTATGCTTTTTTTTTCAGCACCCCAAATCTGTAAATCTGGAATCACTTGCAATTATTCTAGCTCAATTACTGTGTCTAAATATGGGAATACCTTATGATGACAGTGACAAATGTCAGTGCCCAAGAACTGTCTGCATAATGAGCCCAGAAGCAGTGTAAGATGCTTTATTTTTAAATTATTTATAAAGTTTTTATGAAGATAATTTTACTTATTTAAGAAGTCTACTTTATGAAAAATAGTTAATAATGCTTGAGTATCAGTTGTGACCAGTGACTCCCAGCTGTAAATATTTATTCGAATGCACATGCTCTGTGTCTATCTCATTATCTCTTATAATCAAATGTTACATTTGTTTTCTCATATCTGGTCTAATCATTCCTTCTCCACTATGACTACTTTCAAATTTATTTTTTATTTTAGTGCCTGATTTGATAGGTCAAATATAGGCATATGATTAATATATTGTTTTTTGTTTGTTTGTTCTTGTTAAGTGCCATCAAGTCAATTCTGTATAGGGTTTCTGAGCAACTGATGGATTTGAAGTTTCAACCTTGCAGTTAGCAGTTCAGTACTTATCCCACAGCACCACACCAGGACTGATTAATATATGTTGTTGTTGTTAGTGCAGTCGAGTTGATTCCGACCCATAGTGACCCTGTATAGGGTTTCCAAGGAGCAGCTGGTGAGCTTGAACCACCAACCTTGTAGTTCAAACAACTTTGCAGGCTCATACAAATATATGGGAATTATTTATTAGTATGACCCCTTCTGGATGAATCCTCTTCATCCTGCATAGACTCAGCCTGATATCTTGGCACCTGCTGATTTCAGAGATGCTTTCAATCAGTTTTACCTTGTCGCATATCACAGAAGACCATTTTCAGTGTCCTTATTGTGTTTCAAAGACCTAATCAATTTGTTTGCTGTTATTTGTCATTGTTCTTAGAGGACAATGTGAAATTTTTCAGAAGTAGAACCAAAGTAGGATTTAAGGAAAACATCATTCAGTCAAAGAATGGAGCCAGTGGGTAAATAAATGTTTTAGCCACTCATCTTTCTGACAGACAGCTCTGTCATTTATTTCCTCTCATTTTCATATGTTTTGAATAATCAAGCCTTATTGCCTGCAGCAGTAAATCATAATACTTCTCTCCCCATTCCCTCACTTCTCATTACACAATCAATTTCTAAAAATACCTACATTAAAGTCCTTATTTGAGATTTCAATTTGAGAGAAACACTTATTATGAAACTTAATTGTCCCAGAAGTGGCTATCGAAAGTAAACCTTTATGAAATGATTATGGAGTTGAATCAATTCTGATGTGAACAAGGAAGTCATTGTCATGAGATGATATAATGCAAGTCCAGGTATTAAATGATACCCTGTTTTTGTATAATTATAACTAATACAATGCAACAAAATTGAAGTCATTCCTGCTAGATTGTTTTGTTATAATTAGGAAATCTCTGGCACTTATGAATAGGAGGTTTGCAATGCTGATTTCTAGGATTCAGTTGCAACTCATATTGGGCTACTTGGAGCTTATATAGGTGAATGTTTGACCATGAAACAGTGACTATTACTGAATTTTAGTATCTTTAACATAATTTGGATATTTTCAGATCCATGGAATTTTAAGATTAAGTGGGCACAGAAGTAATCTATTCAATAACAAATAACAATATGTGTAATGATCTAGAGAAGGCTCTGATATCACAAGAAATAGGATGAATAAGGATTGTAGGTCATACCAGTGACTTCATGAGTGTTTCCTAAGCTTTGCTGATAGAGGAAGGAAAGCCTCAACTTGTTTCAATAACAGATTTGCTTATTATGTTAATTATAATAATTTTTTAAAAGTCATTGTTGACATATCAGTGCCCAATTAGATTTAAGCATAAAAGACAACTCTGTTCAGTGTCCCAGTGAACAGAGTTCCAAAGCAATACATTCTATTTTTTACCTTTTATGGAACAAGAATTCAGAGATTGGCATCTACAAACATCCTACTCAGTGACAAGTGATTTTTGCATTATCTTTTCCCTGAGGGATGGATTTGAAACTCTGATCTTTCAATCAGCAGTCCAACATTTTACCCACTCTGCCCTCTGGATTCCATTTTAATATAAAGTCTATTATAGTTAACATCTTATATGTAACAAGATGGAAGTTTGGCACTAAAATTGAACATTTGTTCTGTTATGAAATGCTTTCAAATAGATTTGCTCCAGACAAAGACAGTTTAAAAAAATAATTCTTACATAAAAATGTTGAAGTATTATGTATTTTTAGTCATTCCAGTGGTATGAAGATATTTAGTAACTGCAGCATGGAAGATTTTGAACATTTTATTTCAAATCCTAAATCCCAGTGTCTTAAAAATCAGCCATATTTAGATCTATCCTACAAGGCTGCCGCTTGTGGTAATGGAAAAGTGGAAGAGGGAGAACAGTGTGACTGTGGAACTGAGCAGGTTAGTAATAAACTGGCAGAATAAAACATTAGTTATATTTTACAGGATTTCAGTGATATTATCTTTAATTTATCAAATGCTGTTTCATATATTTAGGAAAGCCTGTAGAGATTATATCAAATTAATGAGTGCACTTATATATTAGTATATGGGTTCAGTGATTTGTAGATTATCCATACAAGTACTTTTCAAAGTCATAAAACTTTATTACTGAATTTACATACATTATCTTGTGCATTTTCTACTCTGGTATCTCTTTTAAAGCTATGACCAGTCTTTTGGAAAAAAAATTGATATAAATCTTTCACAATAGGACATGAAAGAAATAGAAGTCTTGCTAGTGACTTTTGACTATTTTAACCCAGGTCAATATGTAGGTCAAACAGACTTGGAGCATACATGATCAGGCAAAGCCAGTTTTTCAACATATTGAAATTATTTTAAAACTGTTACCTCAGAAAGTAGAAAAACTAAAGATAATGGAATGCAATGAAAGAGAAAGGCATTGGGATTCTGAGTGAGTGGTATTCCCTACTGCAATCATTCATGTCTACCTTCACCAACACAGAAATTATAACTCTAGATACCTAGATGGGTAATATGTTCTTAGGGATTTATTTTCACAATCACCTACTTTTCTTTTTTTATTGTTGTTATTGTGTCTCACTTATTAAGTTGGTAAATAATCTTAAATTTTCCATGAAAAATTAATGACTAAAACTTAGCTCCAATAAGTTTTATAATTGAGTCCCTTCTTCAGTAGTATATCTTTTTGCCCTGGAATCCCACATACAAGGCAATAGCAAAATTATTTAGCAGAATCATTATGGAAATATTACAGGTCCAGTGTAGAACAGTGAGTACCTTGTTATAATTCATATTAAGGCTAATGAAATCCACAAAATACTTTTGTAGAACTTGTTAATATTTTTGTCAAGTAACCTTATTTCAAAGTCCTAGGAATTTAGAAAATGTTAAAATGTTTGTATTTGTATATACGTCCATGAATATATTGTGTCTTCAGTGGTCTCCTCAGTATCTGTTACCTTTATAAGCCCTCATAATAGACAGTTGTAATGAAGATATATGAGGTACAAATGAATTATACCAGTGTCACGAAGGAGGGAGATCTGGCAGCTACAGGGACAGATAAAGAATACACACAAAGACGCAATGAGAGAGAACAAAAAACACCTAGGAACCATAGTAGATGCGACACTGGCAGGTGGACTCTGGACTACCGGCATCGTGGCCCCTGCAGACAGTAAAGCACCGCCCTGCAAACCTTAACGCATGCCTTGCCAGCTGTAACGCCTCGCATGCCAGTCGTAATGCATGGCCTGCAAGCCATAACGCATGCAGGCTTGGGTCCGCGCCTCCATTTTATTTCGGGGAGGAGCTTTACACAAAGGAAGGCAGGGTTTGTTAAGAAGGGTTACAGAAGTGAAATGTGATTAATGGTTCAACACAGAACACAAGGATTTACAGGAATCAAATTCTAGAACATACATCACAAATTGTCTTGATAATCTAACACTCTTAATTTTCCAGAAATTCAAGCAAATTACTATATGGTACTTTTCAGGTTCGAATCCCAGGGCAGCAACTCGGTTTCTCCAGGCTAATTAACATACCTATAGCACCTAATCTCTAATGGGGGAAGGTGAAAAGGATTGGGAGGAGTCCCGCTGTGTTGGCTGCCTGACTGAGATTTGCATGAGAAAGCAAGACACCTAGCTGAATGGTTTTGCACCTGGGGGCTATCCGAGCAGGCAGACACCTATTATTCTTAGGACAAAACCCCGGACTAAGCCTTGGGGAAACTTGACTTTTGAAACTTCCCAGTAAACTTGTTTTTGGAGCTTTTTACAGCCTCGGCTTTAGGAGCAGTTTTTTGTTTTAATATTTGTCCATGAGTATCAAGGGTTCATGTATACGTTAATATCAAACATAACTGAATAATTTGATAAAGAACAGTTTCGACGAGCTTGCCCCATGGCCAGAATCTGTTCCTCAGAGAGATTTGTTCTTAGAACCTTACACACTGCTAACACAGTGGAGACATTAAGGGGAGGCACATTAAGAAACCATTTTCTCAGAGGCTGCAATTATAGGGGTTCGAAGCATAGAGTGAATTAAGAGAACTAAAGAGAATTATACAGAGCTGGCCCCACAGTGAGTTCATAAAAGCCAATGACCTGGGACATCCGGAGGTTACTTCCTTGGGCCCCCAGGGTCTCTGGCCAGCAGGTCGGAGTGCGGTCCCGTGCTGGAATTTTCGTTCATGACACTGGTCCTCAGCACCCCAATACCTGAGGTCTGTAACATACCAGAAAGAGTATAATAAAATATGAGTGAATGACAGAAAGAGACAATTTCAGTCATGACCAGAAATAATGTTTTCTTCTACCCCTTGATTATTAAAGAATTAGAAATGAAATAAACCTCCAACATGCCATAGAAAGTACAGAAAGTACAGATTTATTGAAATATAGTATATTCATAATGTGTCACTTGAATAGAACTGCTAAATCATAACTTCTGTTTATATTCAAGTGGCTCATTTTTAGCAATCTTCTTGATGTCTCTGTCTTTTATTTTCAGTTTATTGTATTTTTCTAAAGATTTATAAAGGAAATTAGTTCCCATTTTACAATATTTACACAAATTGTTCAATGATGTCAGTTACATTTTTCAAATATGCCAATATTCCCATTCATTACATTCTGTTTCCTACTTTAGTTCCCCTGCTTTCTACTATCTTCTCATATTTGCTTTAGAGTGATTGTTGATTTTTCGGTCTCATATAAATGAATTTTTGTTAGCATTTCATACTCACAAGTAGGGTCCTTCATTTTGTGTGTTGTTGTTTTTAGGTGCCATCAAGTCAGTACCGACTCATAGTGACCTTATGTTGCTGTTGTTTTCAAGTGCCGTCGAGTCGGTTCTGACCCATAGCAACCCTGTACAGGGTTTCCGAGGCTGCAAATCCTTATGGGAGCAGAAAGCCTCATCTTTCTCCCATGGAGCAGCTGGTAGTTTCAAACTGCTAAACTTGAGGTTCACAGCCCGATTCATATACAACAACAAAAAAACACTGTCTGGTCCCACACCAACCTCACAATCATTGCTACATTTGAGCCCATTACTGTGTCAGTCCATCTCGTTGAGGGTCTTCCTCTTTTTCACTGAACTTCCACTTTACCAAGCATGATGTCTTTCTCCAGGAATCAGATCCTCCTAATAATACGTCTGAAGTATGAGAAATGAAGTCTGGTCATCCAGGTTTCTAAGGAGCATTCTGGCTATACTTCTTCCAACAGAGATTTGTTTGTTCTGGCAGTCCATGGTACTTTTAATATTCTCTTCCAACACCATAAATCAAATGCAACAATTCTTCTATGGTCTTTATTAATTGTCCATCTTTCACATGCATATGAGATTATTGAACATACACCATGGCTTGGGTCAGGTACACTTAGTCCTCAGACTGACATCTTTGCTCTTGAACTTTAAAGAGATCTTGTGCAGCAGATTTGCCTAATGCAATACACCATTTGATTTCTTCACTACTGTTTCTGTGAGTGTTGATTGCTGATCTGAGCAAAATGAGGTCTTTGAAAACATCAGTCTTTACTCCATTTGTTTTTTGTTGTTACGTGTTGTTGCATCAGTTCCTACTCATAATGACTCTCTATAGGGTTTCCGAGGAACCACTGATCTCGGGGTTCAAACCAACCTAATGGTTTATAGCTTATTCTATAGTGCCACTATTTATTGTTCCAGTAGTGTGGATTTTTGTTTTATTTACATTGAAGTGCAACCCATACCAAAGAGTATGGTCTTTGATCTTCATCAGTAAGTACTTTAAGTATTCTCCACTTTCATCAAGCAAAACTGTATCATGTGCATACAGTAGATTATTAATGAGTCTTACTCAAATCTTGATGCCATGTTATTCTTCATATAATCCAATCTCTCAAATTCTTTGCTTAGCATACATATAGATTGAGTATGGTAAGAGAATAAAATACCTTTCCAAATTTTAAATCATTCAGTATTTCCTGGTTCTATTTGAACTACTACCCCTTGGTCTATGTACAGATTTCTCGTGAGCACAATTAAGTGTTCTGGAATACTCATTCTCCACAATGTCGTCCATAGTTTGTCATGATCCACACTATCAAAAGCCTTTGTGTAGTTAATAAAGCCCAGGTAAACATCTTTCTGGTATTCTGTGGTTTCAGGCAAGGTCCATCTGACATCATCAGTGATAGCCCTTTTTCCATGTCCTCTTATGGACTGAACCTGTAGCAACTCCTTGTCAATGTTCTTCTGTAGCCATTTTTGAATTCTCTTTTAGCAAAATTTTATTTGTGTGCAATATTAATTATATTATCCAATGATTTCCATATTCTCTTGAGTCACCTCTCTTTGGAATGAACACAAATATGGACTCTTCCAATTATATGGCTCCATGGCCTTCTTCCAAATTTATGGCATAGATGGGTGAATGTCTCCAGTGCTGCATTATTTGTTGACATATTTCAATTTGTATTCTATAAGTTCCCAGAGTCTTTGCCAATGACTTCATTGCAACTTGGAATTCTTCCTTAAGTATCATTGGCTCTTGACAATATGCTACATCTTGAAATGACTGAATATCGACTATTTCTTTTTGACACAGCACTGTGTACTCTTTCCTTCTTCTTTTGATGCTTTCTGCATCATTAAATAATTTGACCATGTTGTTGTTGTTGTTAAGTACTGTGGAGTCAGTTCCAACTCATAATGACCCTGCACAGGGTTTCTGAGGCTGTAAATCTTTACAGAAGTAGAACACCTCATCTTTCTCCTGTGGAACCGCTGATAGTTTTGAACTGCTTACCTTGAGTTGGCAGCCCGACTCGTAACCACTACGCTACCAGAGCCACATTGCAAGTAAAGGCTTGAGTTTCAGTTCCTTCAGCTTGAGAAATGCTAAGCATCTTCTTCCCTTTTGGTTTTCTAACTCCAAATCTTTGCACATTTTACTATAAGATTTCACTTTGTCTTCTTGAGTCCTGGTGTGTTACTGTTGGATAAAGCACTGGACTGCAAGGTTGGTTTGAACCACAAGGTTGGGAGTTGGAACTCATCAGCTGCTTCTTGGAAACCCTATACAGGGTCACAATAAGTCGCTACCAATTGAAATGGCACTTAACAACATTCAGTTCTTTTATCTCCTTATTTCTTCCAATTGCTTTAGCATTTCTATTCTGGAGGGCAAGTTTCAGAGTCTCTTCTGACCTCCATTTTGGGTTTTTATTTCTTCTTATTCTTTCATTTCTTATAAGTAATCTATTGCTTTCATTTTTAATTATGTTCTTGATGTCATTCTACAACATTTCTGGTCTTCCGTCATTAGTGTCAAATGCAGACTGATATCTATTCTTGAAATGATCTCTAAATTCAGGTGGGATATGTTCATGGTCATATTTTGGCTCTTGAAAATTTGTTTTAATTTCTTTCAGCTGGAGCCTGAACTTGCATGTGAGCAATTTCAACAGTCTGCCCCTTTTCTTGTTTGGCTGATGATATGGCACTTTTCCATTCTCTCTTTTCACAGATATAGTCTATTTGATTTCTGTGTACTCCATCTGGTGAAGTCCATGTGTATAGTTGTCTTTTATATTGTTTAAAAAAGCATTTGCTAGGAAGAAGTCAATGATCTTGCAAAATTCTATCATGCAATCTCCAGCATCATTTCTAGGCCATATTTTCCAATGACTGATCCTTCCTCTTTGTTCCCAACCTTTGCATTCCAATAGCCAGTAATTATCAATGCATCTTGAGTACATGTTTGAGCAGTTTCAGACTGTTAAGAAGTTGGTAGAATTCTTTGATTTTATCATCACTAGCTTTATTGGTTGGTGCATAAATTTGAATAATAGTTTTATTAACTGTTCTTCCTTATAGGTGAATGGATATCATCCTATCACAGACAGATCTTGAGATTTTTTTTTTTTTATGATAAGTGCCTTTAAATTTGTCATTCCTAGCATAGTAAATCATGTGATTGTCAGATTCAAAATAGCCAATACCAGTCCATTTCAGCTCACTAATGCCTAGGATGGAGTGTGGTAATGTGGGTTAATGCACTGGACTGCCAAGTTGATTTGAACCACAAGGTCGATGGTTCAAGCTCACCAAATACTCCTTGGAAACCCTATGTAGTGTCACTATGGATTGGAACTGACCCTAAGGCTTTTAACAAAAACAATGCCTGGGATATCAAAATTTATATATTCCATTTCATTTTTGACAACTTCTAATTTTCTTTATTCATCCTTTGTACATTTCATGTTCTGATTATTAATAGATATTACTGTTGTTTCTCCTCATTTTGAGTTATTCACATCAGCAAATCAGGATCTTGAAAACTTTACTCCAATTATGTTATCACAGCCATCTCTACTTCGTGGCAGCAGCTCTTACCCAGTCGTATTTTGAGTGCCTTCCCCACTAAGAGGCTCATTTTCTGGCTCTGTGTCTGATAATATTCTGTTGCTTTTTATTATGTTTCAACAGTCAATATTCTGGTGCCATCTGACAGTGTTCCACTGCTATTCATAAGGTTTTCTGTGACGATATATTTGGAAGTAGATTGTCTCTTCTTCTTACTGGTTTCTATTTGTCTAGATGCTCAACTGAAACTTGTCCACCATGGGTGACCCTGCTGACATTTAAAATATCTCAGAAAATCTTACTACCAATTTAGACAAACTTACTCTAAGGATGTAAAGAACACTGGGTGTAGCATATAATCAACTTCACCAATGAAAAAATGAGTTAGTCATGGGCTTTGTTTCTTATGTTTTCTGCATGTAATTTAAGCATGTATCTTAAGTTACAGTACAATAGAATGTATTGTTCTCACTAAAATATCTATTCAAGAAAAAAATTAGAAAATACTTCAAACTATTTTGTGTTTCAGGAGTGTGCTTCTTCTGAGTTACAGAAATGCTGCAATCCTCAGAACTGTACACTGACAGCAGAGTCAGACTGTGGTTTCGGAGAGTGCTGTGCAGATTGTAAGGTAAGAGCTATTTCTATATAAAGCACATTAAGTAAAGTTATCAATCTTGTCATACTTATATTTCCGCAGTCTAATTTACTCAATATAATTTGCTCTACTCTATTAGATCGTGGCTAAAGGGGCAGTGTGTAGATCTGCCGTCGATGAATGTGATCTCTGTGAATATTGCAATGGAACATCTGCAATATGTCAAGAAGACTTGTTCATTCAGAATGGACATGCATGTGGAGAAAACAAATGGATCTGTCTGAATGGAAAATGTATGGATGGGACAAAACAATGTATTAATACTTTTGGTGAAGGTATTTATTCTAATTTGATTTTTGTAAGTGTTTTTCTGAGCATACAAAAGAACAATAAATGTAAATATAGGACTTCAATTTCTTCTTAGTAATGTGATATTAGGAATACTAGTGTAGAACTGTGGGATAGGCACCGATCACAAGGTTGGTTTGAATTGCAAGGTTCATGGTTCAAATTCACCAGCTGCTCCTCAGAAACCTTATACAGGGTCACTATGAGTTGGAACCAACTTGATGGCACTTAACAACAAAAACAATGATAGTTAGCATTTCTTCATGTGTTTGTTGGCTGCCTATCTTCTTTAAGGAAATGCCTGTTATATAATCAGCCTGCCTTTGTTATTGTAGATGAGGTATTGAGATTTTCTACAAATTTTAGAGATTATCCCCTTGTCCAATATATAACTTAAAATTTCAGTCTGTTTGTTGGGTTCTCTTTGTAGTCTTTTGGTGAAATACTTTCTTTTATTACACATAAGTATCTAACTTTTAAGAAGCTCCAATAATCTAGTCAGTCTTCTGCTGCTTGTGTGTTTTTATGTACATTTGATAGTGTATTTTTTGCCCTCTATTAGGGTACCTAAGTTTATCCCAGGTGTGGTGCTGTAGGATAAACATCAAACTGCTAACCAAAAGGTTGACTGTTCAAATTCACCAGCCACTCCTTGGAAACACTGTATACATGCATAGAGTTACTATGAAACAGGACTAACTCTACAGCACATAACAAGTTTGTACCTAGTTTTCCTTTGGTATCCTATATAATTTTAGGTTTTATATTTAACTCTTTGTTCCATGTTGTATTTATTTTTGTATATGGTATGATATATGGGCACTGTTTTATTTTTCTGCAAATTGATATACAGTTTTGATAGCAACATTTGTTTAAAAGACTATCTCTTCACCGTGGAATGAGTTTAAGCCCTTTGTCAAAGATCAGCTACCCATAAGTAGATGAATTTACTTCTGAATTCTGAACTGTGTTCCATTGCTCTGTGTGTTTGTCATTGTACTAATACCAGGTTGTTTTGACTACTATGGCTTTGTAGTAGTAGGCTTGGAGATTGGTAAGTGTATGACTTCCCACTTTGATACTCTTTTGTTTTGCTTTGCTTATCTTTGTCTCATTTTCAATACAAAAATATTTATTAGTTTGTCCATTTAATTAAAGAATGATGTTGTAATCTGAGTCAGGAATACATTATATCTGTAGATTACTATGGGTAATATTGACTACCACACTGTTACTTCTTAACCATGAGAAAAGTATATTCTTCCATTTATGTAGCTCTCATTTAGTTTCCTGTAGTAGTTTTGTGAGTGTGTAATTTTCATTGCATAGGTTTTTTTTTGTTTTTGTTTTTGTTTTCTAGTTATATTTATTCCTATTTCATCTTTTGGGTAGCTATTGTGTAAATAGTGTTTTCTTCAATTTAGAGTGACATATATTTTTTTTTAACTTAAAAATTGCTCCACTGTTTTTCACCTACAGTTATTGCTTTAAAAGGGCTTTTTGTGTGTGTGGGGAGGGTGGGTGGGTGGAGTAGAGTGGGTGGATTCTAAAGGATGTTATTGTAAAGATGCTCAAATAGTCCATATATTCTTTTGTTAACTATATCAGGTGGGGGATTAATAACTCAGAAATTATATGTGTTGAAGTTAGAGTCGCTATAAAGTCCAGTCTATATCATGATTAAAGGAGAAAAATTGGATCACAAAATTAATACCAAGGGAAACAACAGCCAAAAGAAATCATATGGAAGATAGCAGCTAGCATGGAGATGCAGTGAGGATCAGCATCAGAAATATCACAGAATACCAGGCAAAGCAGATTCAGGGCAGAGCTCCAAAATTTGGAATCACATAGATAGGAATATTTAAAAGGCTTGAAGGCTTATAACTAGTGGAACTTGTAGCAAAATAAGAAATCGTGTACTTTTTAATCTGGCTGGCTCAGCAGCCAGGAGCCATCAACTTGGGAGAGACCAAATGGCAAGACCAACCAGGGGAGCAGACACACCATGGAAAAATGCTGCGGGAACCTCAGAGAAAAGGTGGACAGTACACTTTGTTAGTTTTGCTTTGTTCTGATATTCTTTTTTGTTTTGTTTTGTTCATTGGTCCCCACTGTTTATGCATCTCCATTCTGATGACTAGAGGGGGTGCCTGAGCGAGTAGACAATCCCCACCCTCACCACTTGTGGGTTCTTCTGCCATCCATGCACACAGATACTCTCAGCCCAAGAACTGGCACTGAACTGTATTTTTTTTAATACAGAAAAGCCAGAATAAGGGGCATGAAGCGGGAAAGAGAATTTGTAAACAAAATGGGCTGCAAATTAAATCCTGAAGTACAGCATAACAACCAACACTGGCATCTTGAAATCTTTCAGGCAGCTTTGAAGGCAAGAAGCTGAAAGAAGACATTAAAGTCATACTCGTATTATTGTTGTTATGTGCCATGGAGTCCGTTCTGACTCATAGTGACCCAGTACAGGGTTTGTGAGGCTGTAAATCTTTACGGGAGCAGAAAGCCTCATCTTTCACACATGGAAGAGCTGGTAGTTTCAAACTGTTGACCCTGAGGATAACAGCCTGATCCTTAACCACTACAGATTTTTTTTTTCTTCTCTCCCTCCTCTCCCTTTTCTGTGATTATAGACAACAGTATCCATTCCAGTTTTTGTTGTTGTTGTTGTTTTGCTGTTTTACCATCGCCCGTCTAACTTTGGGGGACTCTTTCTCTCCCTATATTACCCAAGAAGAGACAGCAACTGCTGCCATATTGTCAAGCTACAATTACACTCTATAAAACACCAAAATCCAGGCAAGAACCAATACTAAATGCCATATACCAAGGAGGCAGACAACACCTGTGAAAGTTAATCTGAGTTAAGCAATAAGAAGAGTGAAGAGGGAAGCCCACATCCTGATCACATCTACCTGGAAGCAATCAGAAAGCATAAAAAATATTAAAACACATACTCAATTAAGTATTAAGGCCTCAGATACACACAAACATGTCCAAGAAGCAAGCAGATGACCATATCAGCACATGTCCAGAAACAAGATAAAATGCATGAGACAAATGACCTAGAGTTAGACCAGGACTACATTCTAGAAGGAGGGCAGGCCTTGGAAATACCTAAGAAGATCAGAAAAGTGATTACAAAATGTTTCAAAACACTTTACAGTGGAGTTGAGAAAAATAAGGAAGAAGTCAGGGAAGCACTACAGGAACAATCAAATAAGGTAGATACAGCATTGAAAACAATTCAAACTTACTGAAAGAGGGCCAAATGATCAATAATAGATTATCAGAAATAGACAATACATTGAAAGGGCAAAGGAGTAGAACAGAAGAGATGGAAGGCAGAATCAGTGAGCTGGAAGACAAATAATATCTCAATACCACTAAGATAGAAGAGCAAACAGAAAATAAAAAATCTGAAGAAGTTCTAAGATTCATGTTGGACCACATGAAGGGGAATAACTTAAGAATTATTGGCATTCCAGAACAAGAAGAATCATACAAGTCCACCCAGGAAATAGTTGAAGAACTGCTAGAAGAAAATTTCTCTAACATCCTGAAAAGTGAAAAGAAAAACATTCAAGAAGCTCAATGAACCCCAGAAAGGATAAGACCCCAAAAGAAAATCACCAAGACATATCATAATCAAGCTCTCCAAAAATCAAAGATAAGGAGACACTCCTGAAAGCAGCTAGGGAAAAGATAATTGTTATATACAAAGGTAAGCAAGTCAGATTAAGCTTGGATATCTCAGCAGAAACCATGTAAGCAAGAAGGTAAAGGAGAGACATATATAAAACCCTGAAAGAAAAAAACTGCCAACCAAGAATCCTTTATCCAGCAAAGCTATCAATCAAACATGAGGGTGTAATTAAAACATTCCAGGATAAACAGAAGCTAAGGGATTTTGCCAAAGCCAACTCTGCATGACAAAACACCCTAAAAAGGAGTTCTGTGGACTGAGAACCAACAAGAACAGACAACAACCAGACATTGACATACGTGGCAGCACCTCACAGAACTAAATTGGCTGAAGGAAGAGTCAAGAAAAGAACAAAACTATAAGAACAAACTCAGAGAATCTGGGCAGTCAATCTATGATCAAAATAAATACAATGTAAAAGAAGGTAAACACATAGAAACAGAGATCCAGATGGTGAGAAGGTCAGGTAGATTACAGGATAAAATAGACTGCACTAAATGTAGGGAAAATTTAATGGACTGTAAGGTAACCTCAAAGAAAATGAACACTTCACAATATACCAAGAAAATGAAAATCCAAGAAGAACATGGAAACACTAAAACTATGAGGAAACTCACAAGAAAGAACACAAAAAGCATGAGCTCAGCAAAGGAAGACATACAACAAAGAAAGCAGTAACACCATGCAAAAAAAGAAATCATACTGGCAGCAATTAATCCATACCTATCAATAATTACACTGAATGTAAATGGATTAATGCACCATTTAAGAGGCGGAGGGTGGCAGAATGGATAAGAAAACAAGATTCTTCAATAGGCTGTCTGCAAGAGACATATCTCACACAGAGACAAAAGCAGATTAAAAGTCAAAGGATGGAAACAAACATACCAAGCTAATAGCAATAAAAAACTGAACAGGAGTGGCAGTACTAATCTCTGATAAAATAAACTTTAAGGCAAAAACCAGCATAATAGATAAAAATGGACATTATCTCATGATTCAAGGGACAATTGAACAACATGACATAACCATAATAAATATCTATACTCCCAATGAAAGAGCTCCAAAATATATAAAGCAAACTCTAATAGATTTGAAGAAATAGATGTATCTATAAAAATAGTGGGTGATTTTAATACACCGCTTTCAAAAATGGATAGAAAAACCAGAAAGAAACTTGACAAAGACACAGAAGAACTAAACAACACAATCAGCCAAATGGACCTGATACATGTGTACAGAGCTTTCCACCCAACAACAACACAA